TTCTCTTAAAATTTAACAGTATCTTTTTTGAACAATTGAATTGTGACTACCGCAAACTGCTTACGGTGTATGGCATCTTCAAAATAAAATAAATTTTTAATTTTAGGTCTAATAATTATATTCTTTCAGAATTTTTTTATTAAATCCAAATTGTTTAAAGGTAAATGAACTTTCAACATGTTTTTTTTATCCCTAGACAAGTTTCATTTGTGTTCCAGGTATGAACGAGTATTTGTTTTATTTCGCATCAATCCCTTCCTGAACAATTAAGATTCCTGCTGTCTTTAGCTCATCTTTAGCCGAATGTACTGTATTGTTACTACTATGTCCTTCAAACGTTGTGGCGGTGCTACTATTTGAAAACGGTATCCAATATGGGGATTGTCTACTGTATAAGGATGGAATACTCAGTTTCCGAATCGTCCATTGTTGTTGTTACTTGGTTCATTGCCTGATTTTATTGACCTAGCTGTACAATTTTAGATACTACATTGCTCAATTGATGTTGTTGTTGTTGTTGAAGTTTTCTTTCATTTTTATCTATATTCACTTGCATAGAAATATCGTAGTCATCAGTTAAAGCGTTAATCCTAGTTCTAGATAAGGCATCAGCGTTACAATTCGGTTTCCCGTTCTTTTATGTTATTTCGTAATAAAATCCCATAGTAGTAACTTCAGGCCTGCATTTACTTTGATTAGTGATTAATGCAGGTAATTAGTGTAGGTGCTTAGTGATTAGGAGTAAACACGTGTGGACAGCGATTGATTAGTGCATGTGATTAATAATCTGCGTAGTAAAGTGATTAGAAGCGTGTTCCTTTTTTTTGCGATTGGACAGGGAGTATCCACGTCCCGCGCGTCTTTTCTTCCCCCTCACTCGCAGTATGTCCTTCACTAAACAAGTCTGGACAACAGTGTTTAGTGTTTAGCGTTTAGCGTTGGACCCTCGCTTGTGTTACAAAAATGGCAGTGTACCGAAGACATAACCTAAAAATTTGTGCACGAGTATCTAAAAAATGAATGTCTACAACAGTAAATATCCTAACTGCAAAATTAAATGAGCCCTAGATGTGCCAATTTCTACGTTTAAGTGAAGCTATGAACATACCAGTGTTCGGAAGTAAATAAGTTTACACTAAAATAAGAAACTTGAGATCTACATATTCGCAAGAGGTTAAGAAAGTTAAACAGAGTACTTGCTGGTCAACGGCTAATAACTGAATTTACTAAACACAAGCACTAAACAGAATTAGATACTACTTACACTACACACCTGCCTATTTTTATACCAATATTTTGAAAAAGAATTAAAATTCCTAAGTTTGCTATTCCGTTCATTAATAGAATTTAACCAGAAATACCGATGGTCGGTGTAAATGTAAATTTTTATTTTATTTTTTCGTATAAATAAGGGCGGAAATGTTTGACTGCCCAAACGATTGCAAAAAATTATTTTTCTTTTGTGCTATATTTCGTTTAAGCATCGTTTAATGTACGACTTGCAAAGGCTATAAGGATTATCACTACTGATAAGTCCCTGCTATAGAACTGCACCAAGGGCACACAACACATCTGTGGTGAGCACAAACAGTCGAGAGAAATCAGGGTAATGTAAGAGTGAGATGTTTGTTAAAAGCACTTTACGTCTTTCAAATGCGTTTATATATTCTTTCGTAATTTTCTGTTGTTTTTCTTTTTCATACAAGAGGTAAGCGGTTGTGTATGTTAAGCGAACTATTTAATAAATTTTCTGTAACATCCTACTAATCCGAAAAACCCTTTTTATGTCCGTGGCTGTACGCTGTTACGGATATTTTAGTATTTCGCCGTTAGGTTTTAATCATATTGTATGCTTTGCGCATGTTTGCCTACTACTGTGAATGGCTCGTTGTATTTAAATTTACTAAAATATTGGTGAACTATTACAGGACTGATAAAGGATCTTCTTCTTGTATCTAGTACTTCCAGTGTCTAGTAAAATTTCGAACTTATTTCGGGAATAACTATGTGATGCAATTTTAAAATGGTGTCGCAATAATTAAGATGGATCATTGCGGAGAGCCTTCGAAGGTTACTATGGGAAAATTTTCAAGCACTGCATTACCTAATCATTATTAATTTCATTTTAATTTTGTTGATACGGACCTTCAAAGGAAGGGTTTTCTACAAAACCATTATAGTGATCGTAGTCACCGTCATTATTATCGTAAGGAAATTTTGATATAATGTCGAAGGTTCCTCCCAAAAGAACAAATCATTTGTTTTCATGTCTTGCCAAATTGGTGCGGTACGCATAACATAAATACGTCAGTATCGTAAAAATTTTTGGGCGGTTGATTTTGTATGCCGAATTTGAACTGGTTGTTGTTGTATGCCTTATTTTAATTGATTAGGCTGTTGTTAAGCGCCGTATTTAATCTAATTTGATTGTGATTGATTTTGTATACCGTATTTTTGAACTTGATGTTGGCGAATGCCAAATTTAAATCCACCACTTAGGAATGGTGCTCGTGGTTTTGGATAAATGGATAATTAAAATTGAATTATGTGGTGATGCAAAACGGTAACCTTGTTGAGGGGACGTGAATTTATGATGCCTATGCTATATCCTATCTGATTATTGGGTACATCAAACTTGAAATTACTATTATTATTATTGTTTGGTGTTGGATTTTGATTTATGTAGGTATATGGTCTCACGAAATTTGCGGAGATAATTGCTGAACTGGTTTGGCTTTATTGTTTTTGGCTTTGTAATGTGCTAAGTTAACTTTCTCCTTGACTATACTTAAGCAATCTCCAATGTAGAAAAGTCTTTGAGTCGAACAATTCTAACGAGGTCTTTGGTTAAATGTACCAAAATACATTTAAGGCGTTATTATTATATATAATCATTTCGGCGACTCTAATTCCTTCATCGCAATGTCTTTGGGCGTTGGCAAACAAGAAGCTTTAACATTTTGTATTCTACTACAAAACTGAATAAATGACTCTCCTTGTTTATTTATAAAGATTCTAGCTTGATAGCAATACATTTCTCTTACTTATAACGATACATATAATAGAGATACATATAATTCGTACTTATAACAGTAATTCCAAAACGATTATCAGAATTACGCGTAATGTATACAAAACAAACTACGTGTATCAGATAAATGCAAATAATTTGGCCCGGTGATTTCAGTTCGGAAAATGCGGAAAAGAATGGGATAAATGTAAACAGGAAGTGAAAAGTATCATCCATCCTATTTCCTCCAGGTGATTCTGACCACTTCTATACTGCCGATGGTCCAGTGCGCGTAATCAATTGATTTGGAAACGATAGCGCGCGCGTCGCGGGAGGTATTTGTTTGGTTCGAGGATATCTGAACCTGACTGCTATACTGATGCTTAAACCGATTTTGAGGTCCAAAGGGCGTTAGCACGTTAGAGGAATATATACGGATATCCTACCGGCTGCACCACTTAAATCGCAATGGACTTCGACAGTCTTTTTAAAAACAAAATTTAAAATATAAAATAATTTAATGTTCTTTTGAAGGTGGGTAATTACATAATGAATTAAATTTTATGTTAGTTAAATAAGTCTCAACAATTATCATATCGTCACCGGATAGGTGTGGGAGTTGTTTGTCTTACATTCTATTCTACAGAAATCTAACTTGACTTTTTACGAAAAAGCTGCTGTGGCTGTTTGGAATATTGAGCCAGGGACGAATTGAGGCGATATAACTACGTCGTTCTTCTGCGGAACACAAACACACGCAAAAAAAAGAAGAGTAGTTTGATTATTTCAGTTCGTTAAAGCAGTAGGTCTTACTATCCTACAATAAGTAAAATAAGGCTTACTAGCAAGGTTTTTAGAAATGTTAAATTTTGTTTTTCTTTATGACAAATGTTACAATTTTTCGTCCATACTCTATAGAAACTGTACTAAACTAATTATTTTTACTGAAATCTGTAGACCAAATTGGATATTTCTCACTTTTCCTTCACCTTAGTTTGTTTTAAGAGTTCCAGTCTCACAATCGCGCGCGATGTTCCTGTGTCAACTTTAAATCTGCAAGCTTTTCCATTTAAAGTGCCCATGATTACACTAGTCTATTCAAAAAATGGATGATAAGGCTAAGTACAGGATTACTGTAGGACAACTTGACTCTTTGGAATACAAACAATAGGTACACTTATACACTCTTTAGAATATAATAATAAACAGTAGATACTTGTAACAGTAATTCTAAAACGATGATCAGAATTACGCGTAATGTGTATAAAATATACTTGTAATTTTTATGAAAAAAAAGAGAAAATACATAACTAAATTAAGTTATTAAAAAAGTGTTACAAAGTATGTTCAATACTGTTCTGGATAAATCGATTCATGGTATTATCAAATTAGCAAATAAAACTCTAATTTTAAAGCATTATCTACTTTTCATTTTAAGTATTGTATTTGTTAATATTGTAGGGTAAATAAGTTTGAATAAAATGTGAAATGACATTTCAACAGTTTTAAATTATTTTAAAAAGCTAAAAATTATTTACATAATTATTCATATAAATTGACTGACGTTAGAGAATAATATTATGTATAGTCATTACACTACGATATAATATTTTAAATCTTTGCATAGCTTGAACTGCTGACACACTTACTTGGATTCTTCGCAACATATTTTATGGAGCAAATTAAATATGTAAATTCATTATTTTACTAAAATTGTTTAAAAACTTGTCATCATCACAACACATTTCCCTCCTGATGAATTTAAATCTATTACTAAGATCTACCTATGTTCTTTTTTTTATTTGATCGCTCTATTAACAAAATGAAAAATATGTAAATATATCAGTACAATAAGGGGTACATAATTTAACATCTGTGTGCGACAAAGAATCATATTTATAAATAAAACTAGCTATTATATTTTTACTATGCAACCGATTGCTCCCCCTAACAAAATTAACAAAAATAAAGTGGAGCAAAACAGTTAATTATGTTTTTGTTTTTGTTTCAGTCTCTTGGAAATCACGAGTTTGACAACGGAGTCAGCGCACTCACTCCGTTTATTGAAAATTTAACATGCCCTGTCTTAGCCGCCAATCTTATACTTACTAAAGTTCCTGAGTTAGCAACCGAAACAAACCTTAGAAAATCTGTTGTATTTAATGTTTCTGGTGTAGCAGTCGGAGTAGTTGGTTATTTAACGCCAGAAACTAAAATGATAGCTGTTCAAAATAATGTTGAGTATGTTGATGAAATAGTAGCCCTTAAACAAGAAGTTAGTAACTTAAAATCAGAAGGTGTTAATATCATAATAGCACTCGGACATTCCGGGTTTTTAAAAGATATAGAAATAGCAGAAAACGTAGAAGGTATCGATTTAGTGATTGGCGGACATTCAAACACTTTTCTTTGGAATGGAACCACCCCAGATTCAGAAGATGTTCAAGGCCCTTATCCAACGTATGTCAAACAAACATCGGGCAAATTAGTTCCAGTAGTACAAGCTTATGCCTATACAAAATATCTTGGGAAACTTCATATGTTATTCGACTCCAATGGCGATGTTATAAGCATAGATGGTAATCCCATCCTTTTAGATAATTCAATACCACAAGATTCAGAAATTTTAAAAATAGTCGAACGTTACAGAAGTGATGTCGTAAACATTACCGAAGAAGTAATAGGAAATACTTCAGTTGTACTTGATGGCTTGAGTTGTCAGTATAAGGAATGTAATCTAGGAAACTTGATAGCTGATGCTATGGTGTACCATTATGCATCAGAGTACAAAGGATACTATTGGACAGATGCACCAGTAGCAATTATACAAGGAGGCGGTATAAGATCTTCTATAGCGAATACAAAGCTACGTACTAACATTACTAAAGGAGACTTATTAGGTGTCATGCCATTTGATGGAATATTGGTTACGGTCAAAATGAATGGCAGCACACTTTTGCAAATGCTCGAACATGGTGTTTCAAATTATGATCCCTTAGATTATCCAGGGGAGTTTCTTCAAGTCTCAGGAATACATGTTGTGTTTGACCTAAGAAAACCCTCACGTTCAAGAGTAATAAAAGCGGAAGCTAGATGCGCATCTTGTGATATACCAACTTACTCCGAAGTAAAGCATGACCAAATATACAATGTTATAATGACTGATTTCCTTGCAAAAGGTGGTGATGGATATTGGATGTTTAAAGGACTATCGACGGAAAGTTTGAATTATAATGAACTAGCTGCCACCATTTATTATTTAAGACAACACAGTCCAGTCATTCCTGCCGTTGAAGGAAGAGTAATATTACTCGATGGTGATGACAAAAATTCAGCGATATCAATTTATCCTTCAGTATTCATATTATTAGTTCTAATTATTATTAATTGAATAATAATTTGCGACTTAACATAATCATAGTCCTAACTAGAGACATGATGTAGTTAATACCATAAACGAATACTTATGTAATATGTATTGAAAAAAGAATCACAGTATTTTGAAAAGGTTGTGATGTGTTACATTAGAAATTACTATAGGTAATGTTTAAGTATTTAAAAGATTAAAACATTCTTAAGATAGTTTATATAATATTGTATGTGTAGTATATGTGACCATTCAGAAAATTTTGTGAAACCAAAAGAAAATCAATGGTTAAAGTTTTTATCATAAAACCTTTTTAATGACCTCTCCGCCAGCATCTACACAAAGTTTGATGGTTCTGAACCAATTTTTAAAACATTTTTTCAAACCCACCTCGGACACCTCTTCTACGACCTGCGTGAATGCTGCAAAAGCATCTTCCAGCAATAATAACTGTAGGTATACCTTTCGGCTGATATGTTTTTTATTTAAGATAATAAAAAGTATCATTAGACATTAATGTCACTTCGGTTTTGAAAAGAAATGGACAACAGATAGATAGATTCTGGGTCTGTGTGAAAAAACTAGCGATGAAAACATTTCCTGCACTTCTCGATCGCTTCATTCAAGTAGGCGTTGGTTCATTTTGAAGTAGGCAAATAGCAGATAAATCCACGATTTATCACCTGTAAAAAAATAAACGACGTAAACACGCCGAGGAGAACTTGCATCTTTAGTAATCACATCCTCCTCACACGGTGTGTCGTACGAAATCTCGTAAACATTTTTCAATCCAATCTGCAATGTGTGCTGAATTTATTCATACAAGATTCGCCTACTCTTTCCAATAAATTTCTCAGGTTTCCTTTCGTAACAACCAACCGTCAATAGGCGGCCACTTCTTTCTTCATCTCTCAAAGTTAGTTGACCGTACTTAAATTTGTCATTATACTACCGTTACATGGTGGCCTTAAAAGTCTATCCGTAAATGTCGTTTGAAGTGTTTCAAACGATTCTTCCGGTTTTAGCGATATTTAAAATGGCAAAATCATCGAGCAAAAATATTCCCGACGCAAAATACATTTTGCAATCAAACACGATATTTCAATTTATCTTCTAAAAAATGTGACGAAAAGGATATTTTATGCGAAGAGACTTAAAATTTTCAGATCTTTGATCAATCCTTTGATAAAACCGTTCGTATACAGGGTGTCCGGTTTCCGATGTCCGATACTTTAAGGGGTTAAAATACAATTAATTTTATCGACAAATCAGGGATCAATGATTTTTTTTTCGCCATCAATAAAAAAATGGCAGCACTTTAAAAAAAATTGTTGGCGATGCATAGATGCTTGTATTAATTTAATAATATCTACCCAAGTGGAAGACTTTCAAAAACAAAATTGGTCTCAAATGTTAGTTAATAGTGTAGACAATAAATCTAGATTCAAAATATTATTTTTTAATTTTTCAGTATAAGTAAAAAACATTTTTGAAAAAATAAATTAGACAACAAATTGATGTTTTCTTCAGATTCTTAGCTTTAAAAAAAAAACCATCGTGTTAACCAATTTTTTTTACCTGTTTTTATTATAATACAGGATATTTGCTATGAATGCACATTTAAATCTTAACTCTGAGTTAGATAGTTTAGGAGCTATGATAATTTGAATGTAACTGTTCAAAGTGCCTCTACCCCGATATTAGATAACTAAACACCCATTCCAGTGAGTAAGATAAAATTCTTCAATAATTCAAGGAATCGTAAGCAAGCACAATAGCATCCTTTGTGTGAGCAGGTAAAAAACGCTGTGCACAACAGTGCGAGCGAGACAGAATAACGGCTGTCTCCAGGTAAAAAGGGTGCAGTGTGCGCTTGTGCCGTCGAGCAGTCGTCCCTCGCTCTGCGTTGTGATAACATTCCTGGTTTTAAGTAAATCTACTTACTGTACATAATTATTGTTTGTTGTTAGACTTTGTTACGATTTTGTTTTGTTGTTGAACTGTTACAGCGATATGCTGGCTTGAGTACTCGTTCATTGTAATAAACAAAAAGTAACAGTTCAACAACAAAACAAAAACATACATTGACATTGTATAGCCAAATTTCTTAGAAAGGGATTTTTTTGTGTGTGATCATTTTAACCACACGTATGATAAAAACGATGTTGCATAGTTCTTATCTGATGTGGTAATTATAATCAGTAGTTACCTACAGCATTCCTGTGAGGACTGTTTTAATCTTTTTTTTAATTTAATTTTTGTAAATTTTTTTTAAAGTGGCGATATTTTAACTATCATATAACATAAGTAGTCAGGAATACGTACACAACATTTCAATTGAAAACGTCAAGACAAACAAGTTATAGATTTTTAGATGGAAAGCACCGTTTGATCCCAGTGTCCCGATGTTCCGCGTATTCAGAGATCAGTTAAATAAACAATTGCTCTGATGGTGATATATAAATATAAAGCAATTAGGTAAGTAGCTTAGGTGCCGTGAAATGCTATCATTATTGATGATCGCTGCCGTCAAAATTTCCCAAAAGCATCGCACACACGCATTTTCAACTTTTGCAAGGTTTCAGCTTTACAAATATATACTCAATATCTATCACCAATTTGTCATCATATCAGTGCTTATTTCGGGCAATGTATTTACCGCGATAAGTAAATATTATTTTTTTTGGATAAATGCCTCATACCCTCTTCATTTGTGTGAAACGTAATGATTAGAATATTCTCTTGGGATTAGTGATTACATACAATAGAAAGTCAACTCTCAAATAACACATTTTTGTGTTTGATGGTATTACAGTACTATTTTTCTTCTTAAAAAACGTTAGCTCCACACTAAGATGGTCTCCTGTATCTAGGTTAGTTTATAACCATAAATTGCACAAGGACAAACATCCAAACCCGGAACAATTATTTGTAGGCCATACAAATACTTGTTCCGTGCGGGATTCGAACCCGCGGCCCTTAGTACTGCAAGTAATTGCTAAGCCACTGCGCCAGGGGACCGTCAAGTATTATATTTATGATTATAAAATTAAGATTATTTTTAATGTAATAATACAATATTAGACATCTGTGTAAATTTTAATTTGGTTCCTCATATTGGTTGTTTAATAAAGAAAACTATATAAAATTTTATGTTTAAGAAACGAATAAATGATTCGCAAAACTTTGGTTTTACCGTTAGTATAATTTAACTTAGATAATTTAACAATGCCATACACATTGTACAGAACTTAAAAAATAAATTTAAATAAAAAATATCTTGTAATTTTTATTAAACTTCTAGAAAATTACACTCTGTTGTTGTTAATTTCTACTAATCAGAGTTAACATTCCTACATGTTTGATTATCACTATCACTTCAACATCCCTTCACAAGTCTTCTGCTGAACAACATATGCCAACCACATAGACTCATTGAGAATATTTGCCACGCTTGGCATATACGTTGTCATCTCTGATGACAGAAAACCCATTAAAAACACTAAACCAAAAGTACACAGGTTGGCGATCTGGAGACGCGCAGAAGCGTTATCATGCGATACCAGTACACTAGGATACCGGGTCTGCGCTTGTCCGGCGTAGTGAGTGTGAGCCAAACTTCCAGTTCCGATATTCTTGAAAATCCATATCTTTTCTTGGACTTAAAAGGATTTCATTATGATAACTAAATAGAAATTACAGTGTTTGTCTTTAAAAATGTTCACCTAATTGCTAATGTCTCACTTAATAATGCGTTAATAAACGTATCCTGTAGCGAAAGTTTAGCTATAACGTTTTTATACAAAGGGACAAAGTACAAAATAAGTTAAATCGGCCTAAAAAGTTTTGCTTGTTGAAGATCATACACTTATTTTCATTTAAAAACACAATACCTACATTCACACTTCCTGTTTTGCTTTTTAAATTAAAAGTACAAATTGCGCTTAGTTACTTGATGTGTGATATGACCTTCAGTTAATGCACTCCCATCAGCGAATAAATTAAATTTCTCACTAAAGCCTCATTTCTAAGATGGACATGGAGCGATTAGCCTCTGAGCTACTACAACCCTAGTATCTTGTTTATCATATTAAAATTCAGGAATCCAAGATTCTTGGTGCAGTCGTGGATTCCCGTCCTGAGACCAATGGACAAAAGCACAAATTGTCATTTCTGGTTGTGCTATGAATGTTTTCGTGCACTGACAATGTTTCCCAGTAATCTTCTAATCTAATCGTATCATGAAATCGGGCAATGGTAGTTTATTACGAGTAGGTATGTGCCTTTGTTTGCACACTAGTTACGACTTGGCAACTTAACATCCTAAAACTAATAGCTTAAGATTACTCTAAAGTTGTCCATGGTCAAAAACAGTGCAGTAAAATCTAAGTTACGCCAGTATTGTTCAGGAGTTTAAAATATGCTAAGCTTTCGTCTTTCCTCCTGATTTTGTTTTAGATTAAGTACAAAAAAATAGATAAACCTAATGCTTGTTTCATTTATTCAATAAACACTTAGAAACTTGAAATAATATATAACGATTATATCTTTATGTTTTGATTTTTGAAACTTATGATAACACCAGTATACAGAATAACTTTGTAATTAACTTTCTTTTCAGTCCCTTGGAAACCATGAATTCGACGATGGAGTGGACGGACTTCAGCCATTTATCAAAAATCTGACATCACCGGTATTAGCTGCAAATCTGATTTTAGACAATGTGCCCGAGTTACAAAATATAACGAATTTACATTCATCAATCATAATACATAAAAAAGGAGTTAAAATCGGTATAATAGGATATCTTACGCCGGAAACAAAATTCCTCGCTCAGAAAAGTGATGTAGAATATGAAGACGAAATACCAGCTATAAAAAGAGAAGTGGATAAATTGAGGGCAAAAGGCGTGCAAATTCTTATCGCCCTGGGTCATTCCGGTTTTCTTAAGGACTTAGAAATCGCTAAAGAAGTCGACGGTATAGATTTAGTAATTGGAGGTCATTCCAATACTTTCTTGTGGAACGGTGAAAGTTTCACGGAATCGCCTGAATCGCCACAAGGATTGTACCCCACAATGGTCAAGCAATCATCCGGAAGAATTGTTCCCGTCGTGCAAGCTTACGCTTATACAAAATATTTGGGCAGACTACATCTAATTTTTGATTCCGTCGGAGAGGTTATTAAGTGTTACGGTTACCCAATGCTGTTGCATCAAAAAATACCGAAAGACATGGAAGTAATGGAAATTGTACAAAAATATCGGGGCGACATAGACCGAATAAATACCGAAATTGTGGGCAGCTCCCTAACATTTCTCAATGGAGAACAATGTCGTGTTAGAGAATGCAATCTAGGAAACTTTATAACTGACGCTATATTAAATTACACCAAACGGAATTTTAAAAATAAGTACACCGATGTAAATGTTGCAATTATACAAGGTGGAAGAATAAGAACGTCTCTAGGACGACCCGACACTCCATTTAATGTTACTAGAGGTGACTGGATAACAGTATTGCCATTTTCAGACAATTTAACTATTATGACGATGAACGGTTCGGTTTTTATTAAAGCTTTGGAACACTCCGTTGAAGCGTGGCGTACTATAGATAGTCCTGGTCAATTTTTACAAGTATCGGGTATAGAAGTAGTTTATGATTTGTCAGAAACACCTGGTGCACGTGTGAGAATGGCTAAAGCAATGTGCACAGAGTGTTCCGCTCTAAATGAGGTTGACGAAAATGAAACGTACAAAGTTTTAATACCAGAGTTCTTAGCAGATGGTGGAGATGGTTACAGCATCTTTGAGAATTTACCAAGAGAAATTTTACCTTACAATGAGTTGACCTGTGTCCTAGATTATTTAAAAAAATATAGTCCAGTATATCCAAAAGAATCTGGTCGTATTAAAATACTCAATGAAGACACTGTTAAACTAATTCTTGATGGAACCCTAACCAATAATAACGATAATAAACCTTCCAGGTCCATTGTAGTTCAATTAAATTTATATTTATTAAGTATTTGGTTAGCATTTTATAGCTTTAAATATTTAGTACATTAGTGTTGTTTTAACGCATAGTTCCATTATTAGAAGCAATTTTTGTAACTAAGGTTAAATAATACAATATTATAATAGAGATTTATTTATTTTTAGTTAAATAAACATACTGTAAAAGCTTACTGTACTAAATCATTAACATTCCGAAAGTATTAAGCCCAACAAAAACAAAACTCTTTTTTTTTTGAAAGTATAACCAAGATGCCATCCAAAATACGTACGAAAAACCAGAAATGTGTACATTTTCATTTATGTAATTAATAAATATTTTTTTGGATTGGTCTAATAACAATTAGCTTATGGTCCCTGTCTACCCTTCTGAATGAGACATGAGAGTTTATGATGTTTCTGTAGGTAATGTAGTTCTTTACCTTTTATAACATTTGATAATATTTTAAAAATTAACATGAATCTGTGATATCACTTAAGATATAAAAGTATTCTAATACTGTAGTTTAATAATATCCCAAGAAAAATGTGGATTTTATTGTCGTTTTGATTTTTACTTATTTTTTATACTTGAAAAATAAAGAAATATAATACCTACCTATTTAAATACATTTTTATACATTATCATTACATACTACAATACTCTTTGTATATCAGAATTATAAATTAATTATTATCAGTACAAAAAGTGAGTGCCATGGGGTTGCTTGGGCTGATTACATCGGGCTGCATTGGGCTGATTACAATGATCGAGTAATCAGTAGATAGATACTTATAACACAAATTTGTTTAAATTTTACGGTAAGTTATGTGCGTAAAGTACACGCCATGAACCATTTAAATTACGTTACTAGGCTGCACTAAAAGTATCGGGAATGGAATATTTCCACTGTTCCTGTCATATTAAAATCTTTTTAATTGAAAACTCCTTGATTTTAAAAATCGAATACCATTTATTTATTTAAAAAAAGATTCTCGGTCTTGTCACAAGGTTTTGTCAAACTTGTTTAGTCGTTGAGAAAATGGAATTGACTCGAGAAAATTCAAGAGCGATGATTTATTATGACTTTCGAAGTGGTTTAACACAAAAACAGTGTGTTGACCGGATGATTTCCGCCTTTGGTAATGAAGCCCCATCCAAAACCACAATTTATCGCTGGTTTGCTGAATTTCAACGTGGATGTGTCAAGCTCAGTGATGATCGCCGTCAAGGTCGTCCAAAAACTGCAGTCACCTAAGAAAACGTTGATGCTGTGCGTAAGCTGATTGAGGAAGATCGACATGTGGCATACCGCGAAATTCAGGCAACTATACTATAATATATAATATATACTATAAATAGATATTGGCATGAGTCAAATACAAATAATCTTGCATGATAAATTAGGTGTAAAAAAGTCGTTTTCCCGATGGATACCGCATTCGCTCTGTGAAGAAAAAAAGCGGCTCGCGTTACTTGGTGCGTCAGAACTCTCGAAAAATTCCACGCAGGATCCTCAAATGCTGTATACAACATCGTATCAGGTGACTAATCCTGGATATACGCGTACGAACCCGAAACAAAAAGCCAGTCACGAGTTTAGGTGTTCGAAAATGAGTTAAAGCCAACGAAAATTGTTCGTTTACGGAGTGTTGCAAAAAGAAAATGGTGGCCACGTTTGTCTCCAAAACCGGCCATGTTACGACTATTCCTCTTGAGGGACAAAGAACGGTTAATGCAGAATGGTATGCTAGCATTTATTTGCCACAGGTCGTTTCTGAACTCCGTAAAGAGAACTGCAACCGCCGCATCATCCTCCATCACGACAATGCGAGTTCTCACACCGCACACAGAACAAAAGAGTTTTTAGAGCAAGAAAACATAGAATTATTAGACCATCCGCCGTACAGCCCCGACCTAAGCCCTAATGGTTTTTATACTTTCCCTAAAATAAAGAATAAATTGCGTGGACAGAGATTTTCATCACCTGAAGGAGCTGTGGACGCCTACAAAACGGCCATTTTGGAGACCCCAACTTCCGAATGGAATGGTTGCTTCAATGATTGGTTCATCGTATGGAAAAATGTATCAAATTTCGCGCAGAATACTTCGAAAATCAAAAAATACATTTTTAAATAGTAATGTTGTGTCACTTCCTTGATTCCCGAAATTTTCAGTGCCACCCTCGTAAGGCCTTACAAACTGACTTATTTGGACAAACAAAAAGTATTTATTATTGGTGAAGAACATGCACACAAACTTAGAATAATTACATACAAAAATCGTTAACGCAGTCAACTGCAATTAATCACAAATTAAAAGTTCTCTTGTTGCGTGCTCTTGTCGTAACTGAGTATGAACCATAAATTCCTATAAATAGAGATTGCTTTTTTTTTCTAAAAATTTGGTCGCTAAATTCAACTACTTATAATGTCCACACACCATAAATTAGTACAAGGTAGAGAGCATTATGTCTTTTAATTCAAAAATATTATAACATTGACGAACAAATTCTGCAACCTCAACGCTAATGTCGCAATTATAACTTCAATTTATTATACCAACAACAACGGTCGATTTTGAGTTGACTTGGTTGACAATTTAAGCCTCTGATTGGCATACAAAAACACTTAGCACTTCCTCGGGTCTTTATTATATCGTCTCTAGAATCTCTAGGATCACTGGCAAGCCAGCGTTTTGAACTGATACCCCCAAATTTTCGAAAGACATCACAAATGGTTAAAACATAACACACGAAGTTTTAATTCAATCTAACATTCTCCACATTACAATTTGTGCAATAAGTACAAATCTGTAAGACACAATGTAGATCAGACTAATATTCCGTCAATTACTTACCTAATTAAAATCAATCCAAAGCAAATTACAATCTACTTTGTCATGTGGAGAGGCCTTTAATAATCAAAAAGATCTACTGTGGAATATAAGATAAGGCGAGACCTAAATCTCTTAATAAAAGTCAATTAGAATCCAATTCGACTTATTTCAATAATTAATGCAATAGAGATTCTCAATTTTCAGAATAATTAATAAAAATATAACTTAACAAAACTTAAAAAAATTAACAACTTTACCTTTGAAAAACAAATGCAAACTCTTTTAACAAAAGCAAAAGTTGAAACTTTATGAAAATATGAACAAAACTTTTATCCAACATTGATATAAGAGATTATTTTGAATATTATAAGTTTTGTTTAATTAACAAAAAAATAGTTCAAAATTTGTCATTTGGCTTACATTTACTTAATTGCCATAATTAGTTAATTACATATTTAGGTAATTGGGACTTAATTAATAAAGCAACTTTATTAATTCGAAAGACTTACAAAGTTTAGTGGGCAGCACTCATGCATACACCTGCTTTAATCTTTGGTCAAATATTTTCTCTGCTTATCTCACTTATTTATTAGATTAAGTATAAACAAGATATAAAACTTATTTAAATGGCATATTTTATACATTTATAAACTATTCAGGAGGTATGGCGCTCCATGGAATCATCAACTTATTTCCATACGGCAATAAGCCAGAGAATATTGATAAGCATTGTTTCAATGCTTCCTGACAGTCTGATAGTTCTGTACATGGTGCATAAAATTCAAAATGTTCACAGAGACTACACAAAGATTTAAACAATTTCACAGCAGTTTCTTCATCGCCTTTTTGTAATTTATTGATGACACTTGTATTTAATAGCTTATTTTTAATACGAACCAATTTTTCAGGTATGTGTACTGATGGCCTCATACTTAAATATGTGGGCCAATCATTGACACAAGCTTCACATACACAATGAAATTTATATTGAAATTTAAGGGAAGCTCGACGAGAAAGACAGTCTTCAAGGGCATGATGTGCACTGAAAATAAAATTACAAAACTTTATTGATATTAAAATAATTTATCAAATTACTTATATAATATTTCTAAAGATAGATTAAAAAAGTAGCTAAAAGTAAAGTAGGTTTACTTTTTTTTTAATTCTTAGAGAAAGGGCTTTGTCGCTGAAGCGATTATGACGCCTTAAATAGGATACATACTAAACAATTAAACTTATTAATTACTTTATCTCTTATTTACTAACACATAAATCTTTTTGGCATCTTCCGATAACGGGTCTGATAAAATACTATTAATACTGCCAATCAATGACAAATGTATATTACAATTTTTTCTTTCTCTGGAGTTCTGGGCACATTCTATCAAAATGTGATAAACGTCATCGATAATGTTGCAAGTTGAACAGTTTGGTGAGGTAGTATTTCGCATCAAGTATGAAAATTTATTGCATGGAATGTGCCTAGATCTGAGTCTTAATGCTATTACAGTGTCGCGTCTACACAATACTCGGTTATCTATCCAGGTTGAGCGCATTGGGTACGGCTGGATCATACGGTACCATATACTCTTCTCTTTTGCTGTCAAAATATTCCTTCCAGAGGTAATAACAATATTTTTTTAATAACGGTATATAATTTTGAAATGAAGGGGTAATATTAGTGCCTTCTGAAATAGCTTATTTGGCTAAAATATCAGATTTTTCATTACCCTCTAAGGTTTACTTGTATATAATAACCTGAAAACTGGTTGGCAACCCACCTGCGAAGTGTGCCAACTACGAAAAAGTTCCCCCTATTAGAAAATCTATAGGGTAGGCCTTTGTTCAGCAGTGGACTAATCACATAACTTAAATGACTTACGTCTAAGCCATATCTTAGAAGGAGGATCTTACGTACAAGTAAAATCTTGAGGCAGTTATCTGTGATGACTACGTAATTAAATTTTATATAAATTAAGAACAATAGAAAATAATTTTTAAAATTTTATAATACTGAAATAAGCAACATTGCATTATTTTGCTGCCTGCAAAAGTTGATTAATAAAAAAGTTTAAAACCTGTAAAAAGTGACAATAATTTCATCGATAATATGTTATGTTATGTTTGTGCTTATTATGATTTTAGAAAAGCGATGTAAATAATAAAAGAGCAACTGAAATACTGAGTGAGCGTCTAGTAGGTTAAGTTTAGGTGCGGCAGCAAAACCACCAACATTTATATAACATCAAAGTAATTTTAACCATCGTGCAAAATTTTACCTAAAATTTAATTTTTAGCAGTAGCTAATGCGTCTGCATCTAGTATGTTGAGGTAAGTAAGGTAAGGTATGGTTGGTCGTACTGCAACCTCAAAGCCACAAACTTTTATGTAATATGAAACAGGTAGCCTTATTCTACAGTTAAAATTAAACCTGAGTTAAAATTAAAGTTACAGCCTATATACATCCCACTGCTGGGCACAGGGCTCCTCTTATTTCTAAAAGGGTTTTAAGGTAAGGAAATGTCATAATTAACAATTTCATTGGTGCCAGCGGTGGATCGAACCAGCATTGTTCGCGTAGTGTGAAATTTACACCAAGTGCTTAGCCCCTGAGCTACCACAGCACAAACCGGAGTTTAATTTTGAGCAAAGGCTAGTACCATCTACATATTATGCTCTTCAGTAAGACATTTCACGGTGAGGTTTTATTTAATAATCACCTCATTTTAAATAAATGCAGCTCAGTTTAAATGATTAACCAAATAATAAATACTGTCTGAGACAATATATTATTCAAACAGAAATAAGGAAGCTCAATCATTATCATGCTGCTTATTTTAATAAAATTATTGCTTATTATTGCTTATGCACTGTCTTCCAGACTTGTAGTGGCTCACAGTTGGAGTCATTCAGGTGCTTTATTTAATAACCAATATTCATTTGTGAAACCTTATAGGGTCGTTGCGCTGGTTTTCGGCCTTTTAGTGGAGTTGTCAACTTTAAGGTATTATAAAAAATAATAGCGATTATGTTGACCTAGTGTTGTTAATGTTAATTTATAGCTTATATAATGTAGTTTTCATATTGATAACTCATTGATGCTACAAAAGAAATCTAATTTTTTATAATAAATTTTGATGTGAAAAACATGCAAAACGCTAGTTTTCGGCCCCAAATTTTAGATTTCGGCCTACAACTTGAATTTTAGTTTTCGGCCACTGTATTAGAAGAGGAACTATAAACTTAAAAGTGTTTTTGTAAAATCAGAAAATGGGAAATCGGTGTATTTAGTTTTCTCAATCGGTGATTGCGATTTTTTAACCGTGATGTTATTTTTTTCTTTTTGGGTGTGATTTTGATATAAAATAATAACCATGATTAATTATTTCTCTTTTAATCATAATCTAATAATAAAATCTTTTAATTATAGCAATCAAATATTCTCATTTACGAGTATTTTGTACTTCCTCATAAGTATTTTAGTTTAACAGAATCTGTTACCATATCTAACCATTCTCATCTCTAACCAAGAGGAGCCATCTGAAGAAAAAAAATTTCTTATTGAATCTTCTACCTAAAACGCAATGTGAATAAAATATTTGATATGATAAGATGAAATGGCCGTAAACGTAAACTAAGACAGCATTCCATTTTCCGCCGCCGTATTCTTTCATATAATCATATTTCATATATTTTAAGTTGGCCGAAAACTAAATTGTATATATTTTAGAGTCAATCCAGTTTTCGGCCACGACTGAAATGGGTATTTTGTTTCATCACTAACTGTTCAAATTGCAGTACTTGCTGGCCGAAAACTGAAAGTTAGTGTCTACGCACGCTACGATTCAATATAAGTAAGAAAGATGAGTTATAGTACGTAACCAATTAAACGAAAGAGACAAAGTATTTAGGCTAAACTCAGGCTACTTTTCGGCCGCATGGCCGACAACCAAATAATAGGACAATTTTATGTGTCACTTTTCGGCCACTTAATTTATTAACTTTATCAATAAATTATTATAATAATCAGTGTCAAATAACTATATTAGGTTATTTATACAGTGAAATATAAGCACAATATTAAGTAATTATATTAAATACAGCACGAAACTTACTTTTGTATGGAAATATCGATCTTACCCTATTGATAGCTTCAGTGTCGGCGTCAAACTAAACTATTTATTATAAATCGCGTGTTGTGTTTACCTGATTAATTAATGCTACCAGATATAGTGAAACTATTTACAAATGCATTAAACTGTATTTCTTACGATAATATTTATTTAAATTGTTATTAAATCAAATTTACTGCATCAGCTCGTGCTAAAGGCCGAAATCTAGACCCGGCCGGCTTACCGGCGCATCGACCCTATTTGAATATAGAATTGCTTGTTTAAATACTAGGCTGTAATAATATGACCTAACAATACCAAATTTCATTACCTATATATGGTACAGTTTGTTTTATTGTATTTTAATATGCCATCCATCCACCATCCATCCAATAAAGCCTATAAGTCCACTGCTGAACATGGGCTTCCCCCATAGATTGACTCTTAGGTAGGATTTTGCCATAGTTGCCACACTTGGCATGCCAACCTGCATTGGCAACAGCAGTTATTTATTATTTTGAGTTGTTATTATGAAGACTCTGCTGCCCATCCCCTGTTTCGGTTTCCCTCTGTCACCTCTTACAACACCCAAGGGACGATATGGGGTAGTGGATACACGCAAAATATGCACTTAGAAATGGAGTTGCGGAAAACAGCTCATCGTTAACTAGCTAACTAAATGGGGTAGTGGATATTCTTACAATGACAGCACATATTGACATGGACACTACAAGATTTTAATATACCAAATTGTAGAATTTCAAAAAGATTATAATTGAATTAAAAAGCTTACCCATAATTATCAAAAATTTGCATTCCTTTCTTAATGGGACGTAAAGCAAACAATTTCATCTTTCCTGAACCAAGCTTTCCAAATCTAACAACATTTGGTACACATGAATGGTTTATTAGGCTGTGAAAACCATAAGGTGCACTGGCCAAGCTTTGTTCTTCAACAAAATTCCCATCTGCAGATTGAATATTTGCACTAATTCCATGCATGTTAGTTGGACTGGTCATTAAATGAAGAAGTAATGTTGCTGCAACACAATTTCTGACACTCTCGGAGAGCTTAGAATCTTGAACTTGAAGAAAATTTGTATGTTCTGTCAAAAACTTCAAAAATACCACCGCAGTTACAGATTTCTGGAAAATATCTGACACAGACCGTTTCTTTATGTTACATTCTAAAGTGTGAATGGAAGCATAATGTTTGGAATCAAAAATCCATTCACCATTAACTTTAATATGACCACGATATTCATTATTCATATTAGCTTCAGCCTCTTCTATTGTTCTTAAGAAGCTTTGCCAATCATTGTGATCATAGCGGGCTTTTATAACAGTTCTCAGAGCAAGTAATTCCAATTTTGTGAAATCCATGTCAAATAAACTTGCCATTAAAGGACATTCAATATTATGATAATCCTTGGAAGCATTTATCCTACACTCATCACTGCAGTATAAAGCATAACAACAATCCTTGCATGGTAATAAATTTAAATTTCTAGACAGGCAATAGCTGCAACTAAAAAGATACTGTGTTTTTAACACCAGAGTAAAGTAAGGATCTTCTTCAACTAGTATTTCCCCAACTCTAATATCCTCTTTCGCAAAAACCTGACGCCCCATTTCCTCATTAAATTCAACTACTAATTTAGTACTTGCACATAAATACCGGGGATCTCTGTTACTTTGCATATTCAATATATTTTTAAAATCAGAGTGTTTTTCTTTATCATCAATTTCTTTAAGTAAAGCCTTTTGACATAACATTTGCCTTTTACTCAGTTTGTCATGTAAGTCCTGAGGATATTTCATCAAAAAAATTTCATGTATATCAGCTAAGCATTCTTTATATTTCTTCATTGAAAAAAATACAGCAGATCTATTTGATAATGCTAAGCAATAGTTATTTGAATTATATGAGGCATGTAACAAAGATAAATTGTAATATTGCCATGCTTTAAAATCTTCTGATGCCTGGAAACATTTGTTGCCCTGGTTACGGTAATATGTAGACACACTGTCTGACTTTTCCACTTTCTTAAGAACTGGGAAAGCATCTAATTCACTCATTAGTTCGTAAACATATAATACTCTTTCATTATTACTTGTTAAGGAAAACAGCACATTTGATATATCCCTTATTTTACCCTGAGCAGTCAATTTTGCAATAACAGATTCATACAAGTGATCAATAATCATTTTAAGGGCTTATATATTCAACTAAGCAATAAAAGTGAAAATGTCTCACTTCGCAACACCGTTTATTGTAATAAATCTGGGATGCGAGATGATATACGTTATAGATCAGCGTTTGAAAAGTCAAAATATTCCAGTGGATAAATCTGAAAAAGGTAAGTTGTTTTGTTCCGTAACAAATAAATACATAGTAAACATATCAATAAGTCAAGGCAATATATTAAAATTTACTAATTGTATTTTTATTTCAGTACTAACCGATATTGTTACGGTGCTACTTCATCCTAAGCTTCAGCAGGAATTATTTATACCGCAACCAGTAGCCACTCACGCAGTAATAAAACAACTTTTACAAGATATATCAGTCTCCTCAATAATGAAACTTGACGACTATTCTATGAATAAATTGTGGGATTTAATGACTATGATCTTCAAATGGCAAATAACAATAGCGAATAACCAAAATATTTTTGACATCACTTGCAGACATTTGAAAGGTATAGCCACACTCATGCCGACGTATTTCCCTAAACGATTTATAGAAATGGTTTTGAAAAATATCGAGTTATTACGTGAAAAAATTTCAGATGATGATTACAAATGCCTTTATAATACAATGATATTGTGGTTTTCGGAGTATCACACAAAAATTTCTATTTTGCTTAGATTAGGTCTGCAAAATAAGGATGGTACTTTTAATTCTTCAGCGACAATGAACCTAAAGATTTCGCAAAACTTGGGTGAAAATATTTACAAATATGACAACAAAATAAACCCAATAGAAGATTACAGCAATAAATCAGCAGCGGAGACTAATGAAATAAATTGTCTTTTATTTCATATTGAAAAAAGTTATAATAAAAAAACCATTCTTCACATACAATTACCTACAGAAGTTGAAAGATATTATTCAAGAAAACCTGTTAAAAGTAACAAAGACACTCGTATTGAACAAATTGCAACTAACGTTAAAGGTAATAACGTTAAAAGTAATGATCTTTCTTTTATTGCTGATATTCCGAAATCTCCACAAGAAGATCTCTTAAAAATGCTAGATGACATATAAATAAAACAAAAATTAAATTAAATATCAGACATTCTATTCTATACTTAATTAAATAGTTACCATAACATTGTGAGTATAGCTTAGGTATGCATGCATATTGCTTTTTGGTTTTAGGGAAATATTAAACAGTAAACGGTAAATATCGGTTTCAAATAATTTATGTATCAATAAATTAATTAATAACTGCCTTTTAATGAGCTGAGGGGTTTATTTACATGCCATTATTACATAAATACCCTTTATAAAATGTTTGTCTGTCTCTATGATAATCTTTGGAAGGGTTGAACCAATTGTAATTAAACTTCACGAAATTATAGAAAGCAATACTAGGAGTGATCTAGATCTAGGCTATATCTCATCCAAAAAGCTTGGAGATTTTATTTTGTGAAATCGAAATGTGATAAAACAAACGCGTTTTGATGATTATCTTAAATGTAAAAAACGCCTCATCCTACCTAGGCAAAGTCACCCCGGGTCTTTTTTAAAGTTCTGTTGGTGTCCGTTTTATTATTACTGTCAATTATACTTATCTATTCTATATATTATACAAAGGAGGATGTTTGTCTGTATGAAATCGTTTAACTCAAAATATATTTGATGGATCACCATGAAAATTGGTATAGGCTAACCTGTCCAACATTGAGCCAGTACATAGTAGTAGTACATAATGAAACATTGCTATATTTCAAAAATGCGACGTTGCCAGATAGTGCATAGTATAATTGCCGACATAAGTCGTGAGCACACTTTTTATTGGTCGATACGACGTTGACCACGCTGACGTTCAACGTGATTGATTCATCAGTCGATTCTCGTCGTCTATTGGTTTCGAACGTATCATTCGGCTTCCGTACACTTGCGAGCAATAATTTTAGTGATAACTTTTTTAATTAGTTTATTTTCGTTAATTATTTTTGTTACCTCGTTGTTAATTGTTGTTTGTGTAGGTATTCCTTGTTATTAATTGTTTTTGTTATTTCTTGTTTTTATTTAATTTTGTTATAATTATATATATATGATATGCAGAGAAGGAAGAATTCGGTGTTAAATAGACAATCCCGACAAATGGTCTATTCAGTGTTTAGTTATATGAAAAAATTAGGTACTGCGAAAAACATCATAGACGTATATAAATGACTGCTGAGGCGACTAATGTTTCAGTTGCTATTGTATGGCGCACCGCAACATCAGATTTTATGATGAAAATAATCAATTCTAATCACCAGGTATACATTAAATACTTTATAGTAGATAATAAAATAATGGACACGAATATCTGCAACATTACTGTATCAAAGTGAAAGTTGATGTGTTCGAGTAAACATTTTTATAAAAGTCGGCGAAAATATTCAATTACGAATTGAAATAATAAAGGTACCCAATAATTTTGCCCGACAGTGTACCTACCTCCCACCACATTTTATCTGTGCTCATGACTCGTGTCGACAACTATACATGTAAACACGCGGCCCCAAGTCCCCTCCCACCTTAGTTCGCGACTGCAGCGCGTGCGAAGCAGACGCGTGGCCGTCAACATACGGATTTTAAGCAAAAAAGTAAGATTTTTTTTAATAATATTCGTCGATTTTTCATTACTATGTGTTAAAGTTTGCTTTTTGTCTTAATATTGCTTGACATTGTACATGTATTACAGATTTCAGTTACGTACAAAACATACATGTCGGCACACGTCATCGCGCCTCGGCCAAAATGATGGACGCGTGGGGGCGCGGACCGGTCGCTGGCCTCGCGGCGGCGCGGGCGCTTCTATACCTCACTCAGCGGCGAGATGCGGTAGCAGACGGGCACTTTATTTTTCAATTTATAATAAGTTTGTTTAGAGGTTTTACGGCGTTAAACCTATTGTTAATACAGTCCACTCATTTTATTTCTAAAGTCTCGATAAGGCCTAAACATATGGTCCTTCGATCGTGCAAAAAATTTACTAGTTTTTGCCGTAATTAACGTCGACGAGGTCAACGGTCGCCGAGCGCAATTTGAATCCGCGGCCACGTATATTGAAGAAGGAAATCGTTCCCGTAGCAGCCTGCGTAATCATTGAAGACGCTGATGTCATCCTGGGAGTATAAAAACCGTATTTAAGTGAGTTTGTTTCAATTAGTTATTTTCCCGCTTTCTTTTCATGCCGAAAAAATCTTTTTTTACATCTTTCATTGGCTAAGTACACTTACTTTTAATATGTAAGCACCTAATTAACTTCAGTGCTTTAAAAATTGCTTTGTCATTGCAACGCTCGCTTGTTTAAATTTAAATGTTTATTCCGTTACAAATACAGTCAAGTGTTGATTTGTTGACCTTGGCGCTGATTCATATTTTTACCTGTGTGCAACGATCCCTTTTGTTCTCGCACAGCTGTAGTTTTTTTTTCCTAAAGTATCAACGTTTTCTTTTTTTGCTGTGTTCATATAAAAGTAAAATGGTAGATAATTTAAAAACTTTATTGAAGAAGCGTAGTTCGATAAAATCAAAGCTTACAGTTTTTATTACAGTAATTATTTAAATGTAATTAAAAGTAGCTCTGATATTTCTGAATTGCAACGTGTAGACTTACTGGAGCGTTTTAATAAATTCGAAACATTACATTCCGAATTTGACGAATTACAGACAAACATCGAAGTACTTGGCGATGATGCCGGGTCTGCGTTAGCTGAGCGTGAGAACTTTGACCGTCAGTTCTTCAATCTGGTGGCCATCACGCACAGCCTGCTCCGTGCTTCGTGCAATGGTGCTGGGTCGGAGACGGGTTTCAAAGTTGCTGACTCAGGTGCACATTGTTCTAATAAGAATAGTTTTGTGCGTTTGCCTAAAATTGATTTGCCTCATTTCGATGGGAACTACGAATGCTGGCTCGAATTTCGAGATACGTTTACGTCATTAATTCACGATAACTCTAGTATCAATGAAATAAACAAGTTCCACTATTTGCGCCCTTCATTGCATGGAAACGCAGCCTTAGTTATTAAAAATATTGATTTTAAAGGCGATCATTATAAAATTGCGTGGGACATGTTGTGTGAGCGGTATAAGAACAATCGCCTTCTTGTGAATAATCATGTGCAAGCTTTATTTGATGTCGATCCTATAGTCAAGGAGTCAAGTATCTCAATCAGAAACCTCTTAGATACAATTAATAAAAATGTAAGGGCACTAACAAAATTAATTCAGCCCGCTCAATATTATTAATATATGTCATGACTAAAAAATTAGATTTGACAACAAGTCGTGACTGGGAAGAGCATAGGAACAATATTATAAAAGATGATCCTACTTTGATGCAATTTTGTTCTTTTTTAAGTAGGAAAGCGGATTGGTTAGAGTCTGTCGAGTCAAATATCAATTCTTCTCAGACTAATACTATTGTAGCTTTAAATAATAGTCATACATATAAACATTCTAATTCTAAAGTCACTCAAGTTAATAAAAAATCAGAATAATAATTTTAATAAAATAAATAAATGTTCCACTTTGCTCCCAGGCTCATACATTATATAAATGTGAATCCTTTAGAAATTTAACTATAGAGGATCGCATAAAAAAGGCAAATGATTACAATGTTTGTCTTAACTGCCTGCGCGTCGGACATTCTGCTAAGCAGTGTAAACTCACACATTGCAAATATTGCAAAACAAAGCACAATACGCTTTTGCATTTAGAATCTAGTGAATCCAAACCATTTTCTAACCCATTGCCTTCTGCTATGTCTTCTGCTTTGCCTTCTGCGTCAAATATCGCACTATCAGCCAATTCTTTGCAGCTTGCTACTTCTGCGCATGTTTTACTGTCCACA